TGTCTGTCAAACCACAGTCATATTGTCACTCAAACTGTCAGTAATATTCTAATTAAAGCCGTCAGTCTTATTCTCACCCAAACCGACAGCCATATATTCATTCAAATTAGCAGTCATATTGTCACCCAAACTGTCAGTCTTATTCTCACTAAAACCATCAGTCATACACTCTCTTAAACTATGAGTCATATTGTCACCCAAACTCTCAATCATACACTCACTCGAATCAACAGTCATAGTGTCTGTCAAACCACAGTCATATTGTCAGTCAAACTATCAGTCTTATTCTAACTAAAACCGTAATTCATATTGTCACTCAAATTGTCAGTCTTATTCTCACTAAAAAGCTAATTCATAGTGTCTGTCAAACCGAAGTCATACTGTCACTCAAATTGTCAGTCATACACTCACTCAAATCAACAGTCATATTGTCACCTAAACTCTCAGTCATATTCTAAATAAAACCGTAAGTCATATTGTCAGTCAAACTATCAGTCTTATTCTAACTAAAACCGTAAGTCATAGTGTCTGTCAAACCGTCAGTCATATTGTCACTCAAACTGTCAGTCTTATTCTAACTAAAAAGCTAATTCATAGTGTGTGTCAAACTGTCAGTCATATTGTCACTCAAACTGTCAGTCTTATTCTAACTAAAACCGTAAGTCATAGTGTGTGTCAAACCGTCAGTCATATTGTCAGTCAAACTATCAGTCTTACTCTCAATAAAAAGCTAATTCATAGTGTCTGTCAAACCGAAGTCATATTGTCACCCAAACTGTCAGTCTTATTCTCACTAAAACCATCAGTCATACACTCTCTTAAACTATGAGTCATATTGTCACCCAAACTCTCAATCATACACTCACTCGAATCAACAGTCATAGTGTGTGTCAAACCGTCAGTCATATTGTCAGTCAAACTGTCAGTCTTATTCTAACTAAAACCGTAAGTCATAGTGTCTGTCAAACCGTCAGTCATATTGTCACTCAAACTGTCAGTCTTATTCTAACTAAAAAGCTAATTCATAGTGTGTGTCAAACTGTCAGTCATATTGTCACTCAAACTGTCAGTCTTATTCTAACTAAAACCGTAAGTCATAGTGTGTGTCAAACCGTCAGTCATATTGTCAGTCAAACTATCAGTCTTACTCTCAATAAAAAGCTAATTCATAGTGTCTGTCAAACCGAAGTCATATTGTCACCCAAACTGTCAGTCTTATTCTCACTAAAACCATCAGTCATACACTCTCTTAAACTATGAGTCATATTGTCACCCAAACTCTCAATCATACACTCACTCGAATCAACAGTCATAGTGTGTGTCAAACCGTCAGTCATATTGTCAGTCAAACTGTCAGTCTTACTCTCAATAAAAAGCTAATTCATAGTGTCTGTCAAACCACAGTCATATTGTCACTCAAACTGTCAGTAATATTCTAATTAAAGCCGTCAGTCTTATTCTCACCCAAACCGACAGCCATATATTCATTCAAATTAGCAGTCATATTGTCACCCAAACTGTCAGTCTTATTCTCACTAAAACCATCAGTCATACACTCTCTTAAACTATGAGTCATATTGTCACCCAAACTCTCAATCATACACTCACTCGAATCAACAGTCATAGTGTCTGTCAAACCACAGTCATATTGTCAGTCAAACTATCAGTCTTATTCTAACTAAAACCGTAATTCATATTGTCACTCAAATTGTCAGTCTTATTCTCACTAAAAAGCTAATTCATAGTGTCTGTCAAACCGAAGTCATACTGTCACTCAAATTGTCAGTCATACACTCACTCAAATCAACAGTCATATTGTCACCTAAACTCTCAGTCATATTCTAAATAAAACCGTAAGTCATATTGTCAGTCAAACTATCAGTCTTATTCTAACTAAAACCGTAAGTCATAGTGTCTGTCAAACCGTCAGTCATATTGTCACTCAACTGTCAGTCTTATTCTAACTAAAAAGCTAATTCATAGTGTGTGTCAAACTGTCAGTCATATTGTCACTCAAACTGTCAGTCTTATTCTAACTAAAACCGTAAGTCATAGTGTGTGTCAAACCGTCAGTCATATTGTCAGTCAAACTATCAGTCTTACTCTCAATAAAAAGCTAATTCATAGTGTCTGTCAAACCGAAGTCATATTGTCACCCAAACTGTCAGTCTTATTCTCACTAAAACCATCAGTCATACACTCTCTTAAACTATGAGTCATATTGTCACCCAAACTCTCAATCATACACTCACTCGAATCAACAGTCATAGTGTGTGTCAAACCGTCAGTCATATTGTCAGTCAAACTGTCAGTCTTATTCTAACTAAAACCGTAAGTCATAGTGTCTGTCAAACCGTCAGTCATATTGTCACTCAAACTGTCAGTCTTATTCTAACTAAAAAGCTAATTCATAGTGTGTGTCAAACTGTCAGTCATATTGTCACTCAAACTGTCAGTCTTATTCTAACTAAAACCGTAAGTCATAGTGTGTGTCAAACCGTCAGTCATATTGTCAGTCAAACTATCAGTCTTACTCTCAATAAAAAGCTAATTCATAGTGTCTGTCAAACCGAAGTCATATTGTCACCCAAACTGTCAGTCTTATTCTCACTAAAACCATCAGTCATACACTCTCTTAAACTATGAGTCATATTGTCACCCAAACTCTCAATCATACACTCACTCGAATCAACAGTCATGGTGTGTGTCAAACCGTCAGTCATATTGTCAGTCAAACTTTCAGTCATACACTCACTCAAATCAACAGTCATATTGTCATCCAAACTATCAGTCTTATTCTCACTAAAACCGTAATTCATATTGTCACTCAAACCGTCAGTCATATTTTCATTAAAACGGTCAGTCTTATTCTCACTAAAACCATCAGTCATACACTCTCTTAAACTATGAGTCATATTGTCACCCAAACTCTCGGTCATATTCTAAATAAAACCGTAAGAGTTAGTATCTCTAAGTTGCGTACTGTGGCACTGCGCGCCTCCGTACACTACTTAGCGGTTTTGACACTTTACGAAACCAGTAACGTATATTTTACGACACAACCATAACACCAACTTAACCTTAAATATTTACAAAACCATCTGACACATAAACGACTTCACTAATGACTTCACTAACGACTTCACTAACGAATTCACTACCGTCCTCACTAAATAAAAATAACCTTATTTTATTTTTTTAATTTTTTTATTTCATTACAAAGACATGTCTGACTACATTTACTATGACTCTTTCCCAGAACGTTTCCGTGAACTATTCAAAACTCAAGTAAAACTGAGAAACATGCATTTTAACAAAGACAGACCCATTGACGATGAAAAAAAACCTGAATATATTACAATCCCATATGACGCAAAGTTCATTGCATACATTCCTGGGATGGACGATACACCCAAAATGTCACCTTTTTGGGATAACAAAATTTTATGTGTTATTAGAGTTCTGCAAACCATATGCACAATATCTATTCAGCCTGACTTCTTGTATATAGGAGTCTGGCTGAATAGATATTGTGCATGTGGCAATATAAGTAATTCCGAGATTACCATCGTGAGCTATAGTACACTACTTCTCCTTGGTCCTAGCTCAGTTCCAAGGATATCAGTGTTCAAGGATTTGGCAAGGTCCTTCTGAAGTCTCTCATTCGATGAGAGATTTCGGAAGAACCTTGCCTTAAAGTATTCCAACTCTTGTTCTCTTGTCCCTGAATAGTCAGAAAAGCTATTTGACTACTTAAGGCAGAGATTATCCGAGGTCCCTCATTTGATGAGAGGCCTCGGATAATCTCTGCCTTAAAGTTGTACACTTGTAGTCAATTAGAATGTAAGTATACACGGATAGACAGCTTTTTTCTGAAGTCTTAGATTTGATGAGAAGCCTCAGAAGAAAACTGTCCTATCTGATAATAAAAGGAGTTTCAGAAGCTCCAGAGCTCCCTTTCGTAAGGAATGGGAGCTTTGAAGCTCCTGGTTCGAAGATGTGCTTCGCATCTTTCATCAGCATAGGACATTTACCACTCTGGGACTCTGTTGATGAAGACTCAGGAGCTCCAAAGCTCCCTTTCGTAAGGATTAGGAGCTTTGGAGCTCCTGGTTCGTAGAAGAGCTTCGCATCTTTCATCAGAAGAGGCCCAAATGGTAAATAGCCTCTGCTGATGAGCTTCAGGAGCTCCAAGGCTCCCTCTCGTAACGATTAGGAGCTTTGTAGCTCCTGAAGGTAAGGTAGGATTGCTCTGATCTCTAATCAGTAGATGCCATGCCTCATTATGGACTCTACTGACAAGAGATCAAGAGCTCCAAGGACTCCCTTTTTAGCTAGTGGCATTCTCACCATTTAGTAGGATCGCTGATCCTACTAATGAAGTGATCACTTAATGTACGTTTTGAATAAATTGAATTTTTTTACAAAAATTTAGTATTTTTTATAAACATCACATATATATTATAAATACGTAAATATATTCTTTAATTCAAAAAATTCAATTCGGTTTCGGGCTGGGTATCCCAGCCCCAAGTATTCAATTTTATTCAATTTTTTAAGAATTTTTGGTTGGGATGCCCAGACCAAAACAAACTTTATATTTTGATGTGTAGATACGTATGTGTACATCATTATTGCGTTATATATTATGTTTTTAATGAAAAAAAATCTGATTCAAAAAAAATTATCACTAATTAGTTGATAACATAAAGAAAAAATATATAAATTGTATGTTCTGAGAGTATTTATCCACATTCACTCATATGAATTTCATTAAATAGTGTCTTTTTACTCCCAAATTTATTTTGTATTATTGAAATCAAAGAAAAAAAAACTTAAAAAATTTCTCGAAATTTTTATTTTTTAAAAAATTTTGGATTTTATATTAAAAACTGACACTAGGAGGACGATAGGGCTGGGATTAGAGATACCCCGCTCACTTGGGAAAAATACGGATCTATATTCCTTATCGTCGCAGAGGAACGAAAACTATTTCAACAATGACGAAAAATTATTTCTGGAGCGATGAAGAAAATTGCCTTATCTACATAAATGCATACTTAAATAAAGCTACATATTGTACAAAAGAAGGTTGGACTGGATTTGAGCTCTACATATACGACGACGATGGAAACAGACGTTGTGTATACCCATACGATAATATGTACCATTGTTTTCATCAAGCATTAAACGAATACATAGTCAGTAAGGGTCTCATTCCTGTTGAGTAGATATGCTTTATTTTTGTTCCCACATTTATATAAAAATTAATGATATCACCACTCCCACACGTATGAAAACATAGCACAAAAATAAATTTAGGTGAAGTGGTGAGATCTCACCTCTTTTTTCACCTCTTTTTTCACCCTGTTGAATTCATTGCTTTATAACTCTCTTCCTTGGTTTCTTTTTAGTTGCTTTCTTCACGTCTGTCTCCAACTTGACTGTCTTTCTTCTTCGTCCGTAATGATACCAATTACTTCCACCAGTCAATGGGTCAAATGGTCGTTCATAAGGGTTTCCATACATTCCATAAGGGCCGTATGGATAAACCGCTGGCGGAGAAGAAACATTTTCTTTAGTTCCATCGACTCTATTTAAATGCATTGTTTCACCTTTCATCTGGTCATTAAAGTCTTTTGCGTGTTTTGCAAACTCATCGTCCTTTCCTAAAGCATTTTCTGACTCAGTCGCAACCAAATTGGATGCTTTATTTATGAGCCCTATTTTATTTAATCTTAACTTCTTTGCAACCCAGCCTCCAATCTTCCCTTTATTTGCATCTAATGTCTTCGAAACCCTTCCTCCACTCATTTTATTTACTGCGTCATAAGCTCCAAGTGCTTTTGCTCCAAATGCTAATGCTTTTGTTCCCATTGCGCCTAAAGCTGCCCAAGCTACCATTTACACCATATTAAAATCATCTCTCTTCAATATTATCTCATAAAAGTTCTCGTTACTGGAGAAAGTCAATGAAACATAAGCGTTCTCACGGGCTTCGCCCTCACCGCTTTGCGGTCTATCTAACTTCTTTCTTATATCATCTATTCGCTTCAAAATGTCTGAACAATTGCTAACATCTTCTACAACAGTTATTTCATCATGAATGACCTTCAAGAACAAGCTCATTTAATATGCAATTAAAATCATCTCAATAATGAGTCCATCCTTTCCGTCTTTGGGTAGCACAACATCTTTCATTGAAGAAGGTTCGACAAGTCTTATGTTAAACTTACTGACAAAGTTTGTTATACTATAATGCTTCGGCGGCAAATACATGTAGTTTGAAAGACATAATATAGATTCTTCAGCAAATTCACTTATACTGGATTTTATAACAATGTTCTCACGAGACCAAATACCACCAATTGACAATTTTGTAAGCAATCCTGCTGAACCTTCTACTGTAAACGTCGATGGTAACATTCCACGAAGGTCATCTATTGACATCGTTGAGTCACTGTATTTAAATATTTTCTTAAAGCAATCGTCATTATCTAACCATGCAATAGCTTTGAAGTTTTCATTCGAATATACATCTGCTTCATTAAATGTAAAACCTGACTTCTTTGCAGAGATGACTTTAAAATCTATTGAGTTTGTTTCAAAATTATATGCTATGGTAACTTCTGAAGGTAATGGATGCCCTTCCGCAGTCAGTTGTTCTCTCACTACCGTTTGAAGCTTTGTATTAAAAACTTTCATGTCATCTCCTGTATCTAAGTTCACATACACAGCAACAGGGAAACTATCTTGCTTCTTTGTTTCATCATTATATCTCAAAACATTAAAGTTCTTCAATAATATTGTTCTTCCTGCTGGAATACTTCGAACCTGTCTGATTTCAATAGCTTTCTCACCTCCTACATACTCTACCCAGTGTCTTGGATATTCATAAGTATACTGACTTTCTTGAATTTTGGTTGGTTTCATCATAACATGTTCATAGTATATCTTTATACTCTTGTCAGTTAGACCCGGTGCTATATTCTGAATATTTCTGACTTGCATTTTTAATGGAGATAAAATGAAGCATTTAATACATGACGTAGATGAAGACATGAATGAAAACAGTGAAAAGCTCAACAGTTCTCTCATTCTTCCTTTCAGTAAGGACTATGAGTTCTGTTCAAATGGTGTGTATTTCTATTGTGGAAAGATGGGTTCAAGTAAGACATTTAATTTAATTCGTCATATACTCATAACAGAGCGTTTAGGAAACGACTCTTACTATGACCAAATCATTATATCAGCAACTTCAGACTCTATGGATTCAACAGCGAAAACATTTATGTCAAAAGTTCAAGCCTCTGTCGTTAAAGTTCCAGACAGTGAACTCATTGAATTTCTTCAACGTTACATTCGACGTAAGAGGAAATATTATGCCATCGTTGAATTTATACAGTCAGGAATGCAAAAGACCTCTGAGGAGATGGAAAGAATTATTGACAAACACCACTTACGTCAATACTCAGGAGTTTACGATATGAAACGACTTACAAACTACATTCTATCAAAACTTTCAAAATACCCCTTCAAAAAGTATCCTTCAAACACTTTATTAGTTTGTGATGATTTCGCCGGAAAAGGTTTAGTGTCAAAACCAGACTCACCATTAGCTAACATCATTACTAAAGTCAGACATTACCACTTAACTGTAGCAATACTTATGCAAACATGGAGGTTTTTAGCTTTAAACATAAAACGTCTCATAACTGACTTCGTTATCTTTCAAGGTTTCTCACGTTATGATATTGAACTCATTTGGAAACAGTCAGGTATAACATTACCTTTTGAAGAAATTTGGGAAGCATATAAGTCTCTCATCTCTCCTCGTTCATACCTTGAGATTCATATCATGACTAATACCATTAAAGTCAAAAATATTCCATGGGAACGACCAACATTGTTTTAAAAGTTTAACCTTCAATTGACTGATGGTAAACAAATTCCATGCATCTCTGTCGCCATTTCTGTTAATATTTTTGCTGTCATTCATATCATCCACTTCCCCATCCGTTAGCTTTTGAGGATATGCGTTAGAATAGCTGTTCTTAAATGAAGGCTTTTCACCTTTGAGAGCATAAACTCTATAACTTTCTGCATACTTTATGTTTGAACCTCCTGAGCCATCATTGACATAAATTTTTATAGGCTTCCACCCTTTGTTCATGTTCCTGCTTCTTCCCTTAGCTCTTTTGTTCAGTAGTTCTACATCTTTATACACAGCACCTGTCTCAGTGAATTCAACAATATTTTCATTCGTTAGCTTTACATTCAAACCCTTGTCGAGTATATTGTTCATTTCATACATATAAAAGGTTTTTATTCTATATGAAATGAGAAGCAAATCCATCTTAGCTGGTGCCGTTAATGTTCCAATTGAACCAACATCAAATGTTGACTCACGAACGACAAACAATATTGTCATAAAGAACTATAGTTCAGAGTGTTTGAAAGAAAAAGAACCAGAACTTAAGTCGGGACCTTCGGTCTTGGAGCATGGCGCTGTGAATTTAAACTCAGCTTCAAACGCTAACGCTACATCAGATGTTAAGTTAGAGTATCCACCACTGGACCAAGTTCTTTCAAGAGAAGCCAACGACAATCCTTACACAAATGTTCAAACAAATCCTTCAGATAACGTAGACCATTACCTTCTTCAGTTATACCAAACAATTTTACTCAAAGACGATAAGAAGCTTTTGACAAATCTTATAAGTAAGAACCAAATAATTCTAACAAAGGAGGGCCTTGAAAATGTTATCTCACGAATAACAGGGAAACAATGTGTCATTGACTATCTCGACCCTGAAATCGAATGCTGTGGTCAAACGCCACTATTCATGAAAATAGGTAACATCCGCATCATTGAAACACCAGGAACTACAGGAGTTGAGTTTAAGTATAGATATTCGAATGAATATACAAAACTATCTACTGACTATAAACTTTGCTTGAAATATGTTTTAGTAAATTAAAGCAGTCAGGACTTCGTCTTGGCGCTTTGCGCCGTCAGTCAAAAAATTTCAAGTTAGCAATTTGTAATATCTATCCAAAACTTCTTCAACAGTATCGAACTCATCTTCATAATGCAAACCTAATCTTATTGACTTGGTGCAGTTTTCACTAACACAATATTTTTCTGTTCTCTGTTGACTGACATAACTAACTCATTTGTTTCATCAAACAGCAACAACCAAAGTTCATGACCTAATACATAACATTCATACTTTATATTTTTAGCTCTGAGTTCTCTTGTAAGCTGTTGCATTTAATATTTTCTAAAAAGTCAACTTCAACAGTCATTCGCACTGGTGCCTTCAGTTCTACAGGCTCTCCTTGAAAGTCAACAAGTCTGAATTGCATGTCTTTCAAATTATGAGGACTAATGCGAACTCATTTACCTAAATGAGTTGCTATGACAGGAACATTTGGAATGAACATTGAATTGACTGCATAACAGAAAGACTTATATTCTACTGAACCCTTACTATTAACTCCTGAAATACCTGTGACATTAGCTATTTTAGACTCAATGTATAAACAATTGCCATAACATACATATGGAACAGATTTCATCTCAATCGTTTTGTCAACACTTTTCAAAGGAAATGTCATATGGTATGCACCCAAAAGAAGTTGTACTCTATGACTCATTCTGGTATCTTAAACTCCTTCGCATAACTGAACTTCAAAACTCCTGCAATAAGTTTAACATTCATTAAGTTTTCTTCGTTATCCTTGTTTATTGTAGTATTTATGAGAGCATTTAACACTCCAGCTAATGTTTCCATCTTATATTCTACATTATTGTGAAATCTTATTTCGTGCTTCTTTCCATCTATTTCAATCTCCATGAAATCTGTTTCATCTGTTATAACGAATGAAGCGATAGTATTGAAGTCAACCATTCTGAATGCAAGCGCCTCATTCTGTAGACCTAAGTTTGTTTGTAGCTTTACTGTCCCGTATTCGTTTGGGTCTGTACTTTGCAAATAGAACAACATTTTATTCTCATTAAAATATGAGTATAGCTGCATATGCGTATGAAGCTGACAGAGCTAAACGTTTATATTTTGGTCAATACTCTCTCACACTTACTGACAAATATATTGTTATCACTGATGGAAATACCGAGAAATACATAACATGGAAGGACTATGAAAAGTTTGACCCTATTTTAACTCCATGTACTATGCCGTTTATAAAGGACGGTGAAATTATTGAAAAAGATAATACAACCGTATATAGGTCTGTTTATGAAGCATTAGAATATATGTTGAATCATAATCCCGAAAGATTTGATCCAAGCACTACGTCATGTACTATGCCGTTTATAAAGGACGGTGAAATCGTAAGAGTTCCGGATTCAACGGTTTATATAGCTGTTCAAAACAGTTTACAAAACATTTTAGCGAATATCTTTAATTCAGAAACTACAGAAATAAAATTACCGTATATAACAGATGCTAAAGAAATTAAATCAAAAACAACAACATTATTTGCATCACTTAATGATTTAATGACTTATATCATTAATACTCCCCAGCCGACTACAGCATTTGATCCAAACTCAACGGTTTGCAGTGTACCTTTCATAAATGACAGTTCATTAATTACTTTAAGGGATTCGACAATAAATGAATCATTAAAGGCTTCATTAATGAAAATCATTGATTTTAACTCATTCATGAATACATATAATTCATTCATTAATGTTTCATACACTTCTAAAGAAGGTGAGCCAAAAACTATTGATAAAGCGGTGTATGAAATAAAAGCATCAATGACGAAATTGAATTCGTTAACTTTTGACGGTGATAGTTCCGTTAACGGCATGACATCGGGGAAAACGATTTTAACGAAAGAATATTTAAAATTTCATGTTAGTGAGTTCGTTGAAATTGAAAAAGAAAGCGGAATTAAGTTCGATCCACTGAGTTTCATTTTCAACTTAGCGAATGCGGGTATTAGTTTCGCTGAATGGACAACTATACAGAGTAAAATAAACGCAATATGGACGTTTTTGGGGTCAAAAGCTGGAATGGGTGAGCTTGTAAATGCTGCAAGAACATTAGGTGAAACGGGAAATTTTGTAGATGGTTTTAAAAGACTTGTTTCAAATGTTTTGACAAACACAAAGAAATTATTTAGATATACCGTACATAACGGACGGATTTTCGAACAGATAGCAACAAACCCTCCGGTTATGGCTGCGTTGATGATGGTTAGAGACATAAAACCACGTAGTGGTGAAGCCCATGAACAACAGGATACGGGTCGGGTTATTCGAGACATTAAAAACGTGTATCCTGAAGTTATTGATTTATTTAGAGGTGTTAATGATTCGATTTCAAATCATTCTATAACCCTCGATGAAGAGAATAAATTAACAGATTATATATTCGTCATTATTGCAGAATTAATGAAGAGAATAAATGAAAAAGGAATTGGTGATATCATTAATGTCAGCGATGTAATAATGAAAAGAAATTTTGACTCATTATTTACAAAACCGAAAACAGAATATAGTCTTTATGACGTAATTACCGAATTAATGAAAAAGATTAATGATAATAAGAGTTCTGGCGGAAGGTTTGAATTAGAAGTGAATGATGTTAATGAGAAATTAGCCGAAAAAGCAGACAAAAATGAGCTTTTAGCTCTGAGTGATAGAGTCAAGAACCATGTTCATTATATAACTTCAGATGAACAGATTATAACGGATTATCATGGATATTTAACACGGGATGATGAAGTGAAGACGGAAGACCCTAATGAAAGAAGATATAAATACATTCGTGCTAAAGGTTATGACATAAGCTGTACTGTACATTATGACACGGGTAAAGCGCTAGAAGCATTTAGTTATAACGGTGAAATTTATGCCTCTACTTTCAATGTTAACGGTGTATTAGTTGAACCAAAATTTACGTTGAGAGTTACGGCAAAAATAACTTTTGAAGATGCTATTAAAAGTAAAGCTGACAAAGATGAACTTGAAGCAATGAACAAAGTTTTGAAATCTCATAACCACAACATCTCCGATATAAATGAACTTCAAACTACATTAGACAGTAAAGCCGACAAGAACCATACACATAAATCCTTCACTACTGTTAGAGCAGACGATATAATACTGAACTATACCCTCGGTTCAAGTACACCTTCAGAGAATCCGAGTACAAGCGTAAAAGATACACTTAACAATTTAGATAACTATTGCAGGAACATTGATCAATATGCCAGAAACTTTGAAGCATACACACTACCAACGATGTTGGACAAGAAAGCCGACAAGAACCATACACATGAAGAATTTCAAACAATCAAGATTAAAGAAATTAAGGCATGCATCGAAATAGTAACAAAAACAGGAAGAAACGGTGCAACTGTACAAGAACAAAGAATTTATCCTCCTACTTTTCCTAATGGTTTAATAACAAACAATATAAATATTGTAGAAGGCAATAAAGCTATAAACGTTAAACATGAACTTCTAACAATGAAGGCCCAGATTCTTCAAACCATATATCCTGTTGGTTCTATTTATACGTCAATGAATTCAACAAATCCAGCAACAGTTTTAGGTTTTGGTACGTGGAAGCAGATTGTAGATAAATTCTTATACTGTGCTAAATATTCAAAGCAAACAGGAGGTTCGAAGAAAATTAAAGAAGCAAACTTACCTGCGCACACTCATACAGGAACGACAAACTTTTCTGGCGATCATAGCCACTCATTAAGAGACCACCCATTATACAACTCAGAGTATGAAGCTGGCCATGACGTTTTATCTCCATCTTATAACAATGCAGCAAAAAAGATTTTTTGACCAACTGAACCGGGAGGAAATCATTCACACACTTTCACAACAAATCCAACAGGCTCGGGTGAAGATTATATGCCACCATTTGTGACTATATTTGCATGGTACCGCGTTCAATGAACGCGCTTGAGCCTAGAATAAAATCTTTAACTTTACATAAATGAGCTTGAAAGAAGTATTCGAACAACATCCATGGAGGTCATTTAAGAAGTTCAATGAAGCTGCAAAGAGTTGGGGATTTACTAACAGAGCTGAAGTGAAAAGGTTCTTTGACAAAAATGTTGTACATCAAACAAAAATAAACCCTTACGACTACTTTTTACCAATTTACTCCAACACTCCTGACGCATACCAATTTGACACTCTGGTTCAGAGTAAGAAAGGAAGAAAGCCACCATTCCTCATCTTCATTAATGTTAACACTCGTAAAGCATATGCATATCCAATGAAAAATAAAGGAACTCGTGAAGTTTTAAGAGTTTTTCAGACGTTCGTGGCAGAACATCATCCCACTTCATTAACTTCAGACCAAGACGGTGCATACCTCAGCAATGAAATCACAGATTTTCTCATTAAGCATAACATAACTCACTACACTACTGAAGACCATAACCATAACATACTCGGCATCATAAACCGCTTCATAAGAACGCTCAGAGATTTAAACCAAGAGCGAGACTTTACCGAAGAAACAATGAAACATTTCATCGAAGTATATAATTCCTCAACACATTCTACAACAGGACATACACCAAATTCAATGACACAACAACAAGAAGAAAAGTATATACAAAAGAAACGAAGTCAAACACAAAATATCAGAAATTCAACACAATTTACCCTCATTCCTGGAACAAAAGTTCGTGTAGTTCTTGACGACAAACCGTTGACAAAGAAACGTTTAAGGTTAAGTCGAAATTATTATATCGTAGACTCTACGCAAGGTAATGGATATCTTATAAAAGCTGCTGACGACTCCATTGCATTTTACCCTCGACATAAATTAGTCGAAAGTAGTAATGGCAAACTTGCTGAAACCATTGACGAAGCAAAGCGAGGAGTGGTTATTGAAATACTTGGCTACAACATAAACGATGACACTTATAAAGTAAGATATGAAGGAGGCGTTGAAGATGTTATACCATCTAAGAACTTGAGAGAGTCAAAGCCAACACATCTGGGACCATTAGAGCGGGAGTACTGGAAAGACAAAAATATGCCAGAAAGAATTTTTTTATTCTTCTAAACTTTTTCATTAGATGTAAATCAGACATGAATGAGAACAGTCATGATATCATTAATGGTACCATTTATTTACACCAAAAATAATGTTTAGGTGAAGAGGTGAGATCTCACCCGTTTTCTCACCCTCGCCGCTTAGCGGCTCAGACCCTTTGGGTCTCGTGAATTTTCATGAATTTCCTTAAGATATAGGGTGTCCAAAGGTGCGTTTAGCACAGCGCTCTATATGAGACTATTAAAGGAGATATATGCTGATTATAAATATATAATAAAAAATATGAATATATGTATATGATGAGTATGTTGTATTTTGGCGCCATGCCGGGATATAAAATGAATTTTGAGACAAGAGGCGGTTTCGCGGGAAATTTTGGCGGGATTTTTTTCATTTTTTTAATAGAAAAAATAAAGTTAGTTTTATTTTTATTTATTTTTTTATTTTGTATAAAAGATATGATTTCAACAATCGGCACAACAACAATTCAAGCTGCGAACGGCAGGACTCTGTCCACAACAGCACCAAACTCGTTAGTTATGAATCCTACGTCAATGTTAGTAGAAATGAAAAACTTCATTCCTTCTTCATATACTTTCGAAACAAAAATCCAGAAGATAAAGCAAGAACTGTTAACAAGTAATTTAGACTGTACCGCACAGGATGAAGAAAATGAAGAATATCTTTATGACATGCAGGACATTATTGACCATTTACCCAAATTGCCTGAAATCCAACAACAAAAGCTCACTATTCATGAATTTGACGAAATAGAAATCAAAGCAACTGACTCGGTAGAAATAAAGAAGTTCATACGAAAGGTAAACTATGAGTTTCTAGGATATCATTGCAACCATAAAGTTATGGACAAAGATTGCGACATGGTTTATAAGAACATCTCTGACATATATAAATCCGAAGAATTTAAGACATACGATAACTTTGTTACATTAGTTGCAAGATGTGTATGGCAGATAAGAGATGAAGATAGAAGAGGCAATGTATGGAACGAACAAATAAGACCCGCTATGTTTGAGATGAAGAGAGCAATTGACGCCTTAGTTGTTCTAGCTGGTTTTTTTCAATGTATAACGCAAAAATGAATCCGCAATGTTCAAAATGTAAAGCAGCAATGAGGAAATATAACTACTCAGTCAAAGAGATAGAATGCGAAACGACTATGCAGACTTAAAGAAAGAAGCAGAAAAGCCAGCAGAAGATAAAATGGATATGTTGACATTTCTTAATAAAAAACTATCCAACAGCAGAAGATTTCCTTCTGTCTGACGTCAAGAAGAAATATAAAGAGACTTTCGGCATGATTAAAACATTCAATGTACTAAAAGAAGAAATAGAAGCTACGAAATTGTTTAGGATTTCAAATATACATCGTACAATTCATGTAAAACGCTTGTGAAAAAACAGGTGAGAAAACAGGTGAGAAAATGGGTGAGATCTCACCTCTTCACCTAAACATTATTTTTGCTGAAAAATGACCAAATTTCATGAATTTTCATAAAAGATAAAAATAAAGTTAGTTTTATTTTTATTTATTTTTTTATCTTGTATGTAAAGACAGTAATGTCAAACATTGAGTTTGAAACAGTTAGAAAGATTAACAATGACACCAAAGTGGTTAGAATTGGTGATTTAAACGTAAGATACTGTAAGAAATACAACAAATATTCTTTGTCAGACATTATAACACCATCTGGAAAGAAAAACAAAGGACTGGGTTAGAATTGCTTCTACTCAGAAAATTTTGACAAGAAATCCTGAGCTTATGATATCAGTAAGATTCTATGGAACTACAGCATATCTCATTGACAAAAGTCTTATACCAATAATTCTTCTATGGATTGACCCAGTTGTTGGATATAACTTCATAACATATGGTTCATTCGATACGAAACGTTGCAGTGAAGGCTTACTTTACATCGTTCAGAAACCGAAGGACTTCAATACAAAGAGATATAAGATAGGAAGAACATAAATATAAACTCAAAGATATGACTCTACCGTCAATAGAGTCAAGGTTGTGTTCGTTAATGATATGAGAGCTGCAGAAACAGAACTACTTGAAAAGTTTGAGAAAATGTATGGTGCTCCCATGAAAGGTAAAGAAACGTTTGAAGTAGATGAGATAGATAAAGCTATAAAATTATTTGACGAAGTTGCTGAAAAATACATATAAAGCGTTTATTTTTGGTCTTTTGTGAAAGTCAGAAAATAACGCTAATTTTTTCTAACAAAATTTTTATCTTGTATGTAAGAACAGCAATGACAACAACTGCTATCGTTCATGAAGCCATTAATGAAGAATATGAATACATACAGTATAACAAACAATTGAGACTCATTCGTTCAGTCAAAGATGACATGTACCAAATGCAGAGTATTTTGACAGCATGTTTTGCTCCAGAGAATAAAACACCAAATGAATGGTTTGAATTAAATAGCACTCATGAACTCCTCAGTGAGTTTGAACATGTAGAACTTAAAAAGATGTACCAAGACAGACAAAACTTACCATCACATCTAAAAGGTATATATGTTCATAAGTTCCTAGTTAGTTCAATAGCAATGTGGGCTTCACCTCGTTATGCAATCTACATACTTATGCTACTTGACGAACTTTGTACAAAGCAGAGAGAAGATATGATGAAAGAAGACAAAAGCATACAGAAAAGAATACCGCGTTCAGTACCAAAAGGAAAGGAAAAGAGTTATAAGTATATGATTTACACTGAAGAGATGGAAAAAGAAGAAGATAAAGATATGGTTATGTTACATTTAGTCAGAAGAAACAACAAGAGCTTTTATGACCTCGCTAAAATATATAAATCTGACAGAAACTGGTTCTATCGTGAAAACTTACCGATTTCAATGACACCGAATGAGCAAATAAAAGAAATTGTCAAAAAATACTCTTCCTCAAACACACTATGACATCAAAGGTTGCACAATACTTACATTCAAAGAAGACTTAACATTACTGAAGGAAAAAATAACAGAATATTTCGATAACTTCAAAGAGGAAGAATGAAAAAAATCTCGTCGGGTGCCACGTTAGGACCATAGTGGAGAAAACCATGATAAAAACAAAACCCTTCGTCATTATTTTGTTTTTACCATTTAATTGTTTCCATAAACGCTCCATGTCGAATATAATTGACGAAGAGAGAATCGTCTGATCGTCAAGTTTATTTTGTTTTTACCATTTAATTGTTTCCATAAACGCTCCATGTCGAACATAATTGACGAAGAGAGAATCGTCTGATCGTCAAGTTTATTTTGTTTTTACCATTTAATTGTTTCAATAAACGCTCCATGTCGAACATAATCGACGAAGAGAGAATCGTCTGATCGTCAATTATGTTCGACACTGATAACATTAACGATAACATTAACGATAACATAAACGATAACATAAACGATAACATAAACGATAACATAAACGATAACATAAACGATAACATTAACGATAACATAAACGATAACATTAACGATAACATAAATGCTCCATGTCAATTATGTTCGACACTGATAACATTAACGATAACATTAACGATAACATAAACGATAACATAAACGATAACATAAACGATAACATTAACGATAACATAAATGCTCCATGTCAATTATGTTCGACACTGATAACATTAACGATAACATAAACGATAACATTAACGATAACATAAACGATAACATTAACGATAACATAAATGCTCCATGTCAATTATGTTCGACACTGATAACATTAACGATAACATAAACGATAACATTAACGATAACATAAACGATAACATTAACGATAACATTCATTTTTGCATTAATCCTGCTGTGTTGTCAAAATGTCATGTTGTCATCATTTTTAAGAGAAGTTAATTAACCTGGTGACACATAGTGACGTGGTGACACCATCAGTTATTCAAAAATAAATTTTCTTATAAAGCTTCAGGGTCTATTTCTTCAACCATTTCACTTCCTTCGTCAATGTCAATAGAAGCTTCTTCAACCTTTGGTAAGAATTTCTGTATAACATCTTTGTTCGTTATTGTCTTCAGAGATGAAGGATAATATTTCACAGATGTTTCACCCTTCTTATATTCTTTCTGTTCGGAAAGATTCATAGCAATACTGAAGAAGTCAATATTAGAGTTCTTTATGACAGTATAATGAGTATCTTTGACATTCACGAAGAAACTCTTTTGTTTCAAAACTACTGCTAACTCTTGTGAAGTATAACGTTTGCGGTCAATGACGATAGCTAATGGTCTGACATACTGACCAAACTTAGATTCTTTCACAAACTTCTTGTTAAAGATAACATTAACGTTTGCAGCATTATTGAACTCATTCTTGATGGCAGTAGCGAGAGCATTGTATGAAAAGAACTTGCAATCTTGCATGTGTTTCATTAAAATAAAAATATTAAATTATTTTGAAAAATAACTTAAAAAATCTAATCTAATTTTTTCAAAAAATATTTTTTTATTTCCTACTAAAGATGTATCGGAAGTTGTCTAAGTTAGAACACTCGGAAATAAAACAACTTCTTACAGAAGCTAATATAGATGTTGCAAAGCATTACGCAACAAACAAAAAAGCACTCGCTGACATCCTCAATGACTATAATGGTGAAATAAGTTATGATAGAATTCATGAGTTCATAAAGCCGCAACGCGGCGAGGACGAAGTCCATGCAAGAGCATTTCCTTTAAATGACGTTGCTATTGACTTATATCATAGACGTTCAGTACCTCATGAAGTAAGAAGAGAAATTTTTGACATAACAAATGCGAACGTTGGTGAAACAAGAAGAAGAGACGACACACTGAAACAACAGAGAAGAGAGATGTTTAAGAGCGCTATAGAACAAGTTCGCAAAGCTAACGATGTCCTTCGTTCCATTGACGACAAACCAAAAGAAGGTGAGAGATGGTTAAAGAAAGATGAAGAGAATAGGAAGAGGAATGTTAAGACAGGCAATAGACTCATTGACTTTAACATCGAAGCTTTAGATGAACCAAACAGAGACTACTTACACAAACATTTCGGTAAGGTTTTCATGAGACTCTTAGAGAAGATTAAAATAAACTCCCAACAAAGATGGATGGTATGTTATAAACTTGGTGGAAAGTATGAATGTTCTACGTTAAACCTCAATAATATTGGAACATTACTACATCAGCTCTTGAAGGAGAACTTTATATCAGAGATAGAAGCAAATGCTGAAGGTATTGTTGAAATGCACTATGACTTCTTCTTGACAAACATAAAGAATCTTACTGAAATAAAGATGTATGATTTAACAGAATATGAAGGCTTAACGATGTCAGATGTAAAGAAAGGCAAACCAAAAAAGAGACCATATAGAGATGAAAGCACACTGACAAATGACCAGAAAGCCATTTTGGAAGCTCTTAAGCAAACAGGAAACCCAGCACTTATAGAAAGCTTTTGGAAAGATAATGGTGAAAAGAAGTTTTATAAGAAGAGAAGCGGTCAGTTCTGGAAGTATCTTTGCACATTACCTATAAATCTTGAACGCTATCAAATCTTCAATGAACTGAACAAAAGAACTGCAACACTTATGACAGAAGATAACTGCTTCGTTTATGCTTGCATTCAGGCTGGAGTAAATGAAGAAACTATTGACCACATGAGAGAAGTCATTCGTGTTAGAGACTTTCCTCAAAGTAAAGTACAAGAAATTTCTGACGCAACAGGTATAGCATTTAATGTTACCATTGGTTACTTCAATGACTCAAGACATAATGAAATAAAGAGATACATACCAAAAGAATGTGAAACTGTTAGAACTATTGACTTACTTCTTGTTGAAGACCACTACATGCTAAATGAAAGATTACCAATGACAACATATTTCATTCGCAACTATATAGAAATCTTGAAGGAGTGTGGTGGAATGAACATTGAGAAACAGATGAAGATTTATACAAAGAGAGAGAACAAATATGTAGTTCGTTATGATAGAACAACACCGTTATGGGATGTTATGAAAACATTGTGGGAGTGCAAATATTTCGAACCTATTTCTTATGGAGAACTTTTCACATATACGACTGACTTATATAAACAGAACCTTGCACCATTTAAAGATTTGACATATGCTCCAAAGTATTGTGTACAACTGAAGAAGAAAGCAGAGTCAAAAGAAGTAAATAAAGCTAAATGTAAGTTCATTCCTGAGCATGTTTTCTTTGCTGACTTTGAGTGTAGCACTGATGGAGTTCATAAAGCCTTTAACATATGTTACGACAGTGAAGATGGTTCAGTGAGTGAAAGCATTTGGGGTCAGAACTGTGCAACAGAATTTTTGGAACGACTTCCTGACAAGAGTTTAATATATTTCCATAACCTCAGTTATGATATAAACTTCATCTTAAGACACATGACAGAAGTGAAAGGAACTCCCATCATTAAAGGTTCACGAACAATGCAGATAACTGGCTTATATAAAGGAAGGGCAATTATTATAAAAGATTCATACACTGTTATAAATAAGAAGCTTAAACTATTTCCTGAAAGGTTTCATTTGCAGTGTGGTGAAAAGGAAGTATTTCCGTATCAATATTATTCAAGCTCTTTGTTAGCAAATGACAACAGAACTGGTGTCATTTCTGAAGCGTGTAAGTTTGTAAAAGATATTGATACGTTCATGAAAAACATAGATTCCATCAAAGGTTGCAGAATAGATGAAAACCACTTCGACTTAGAAAAGTATAGCACATTCTATTGCAAACAAGATGTAAGAATTTTAAGAGAAGGTTTTGTTAAGTTCCGCAATTACATATTAAAAGAATTTGATTTAAACGTTTATGATTACGTTAGCATTTGTTCAATTGCTAACAAATTGTTTGAGAACAGAGTGTACTTCCCGAATGGAAATTTATATGACCTCTCAAATAAACCAAGAGAGTTTATTTCACGCTGTATTCAAGGTGGAAGATGTATGCTGTCAGATAACATGAAACAAAAGAGCGAAAAGAAACTCATTGCTGATTTCGACGCTGTTTCATTATATCCATCAGCTATAGCAAGACTTCATACTTTAGAAGGTATTCCAAAGGTTATGAAGGATGAGATGCTAAGCACAGAGTATCTCATGAGACATTTATTCGATGACGACCAAAAGGAACTCATTAGTGAAAAGTTTATGTCTGGCTTCTTTGTTCTCATTAAGATAACAGAGATTGGAATACATAGACACTTTCCTTTAATAGTTTGTGACCCTGAACTAAATCCAGAACTTAACGTTCCCAGAAGTTCAAACACTTGCTGTTTAATGTATGTTGACCATATAACATTACAAGACCTCATAAAATATCAAGGTGTCAAATGTGAAGTGTTGCAAGGATACTATTACGATGGAAACAGAGATATTAGAATAAGAGATGAAGTAAAGAAGTTGTTTGAGTTAAGGTTAAAGTATAAGAAAGAAGGAAATCCTTTGCAAGAAAATATAAAGCTCATTCTGAACAGTATTTATGGCAAAACTATTCTATCTCCTATTGAGTCAAAAATAACCATAGTAAATGACAAAGATGCTATAAGATATGCCATCAGAAACTACAACCATATAGTGAAGTTCGAAGGTTTGGATGGTTCAGATAAAACTATTTTCAAGCTAACGAAAAGCATTTGCAGACACTTTAACTTCTGTCCACTTGGTGTTAACATTCTGTCTATGTCGAAGAGAATAATGTGTGAAGTATTCTGTACTGCTGAAGATATGGGACTTCAAATATTTTACCAGGACTGTGATAGCATGCATATTTTCAATGAAGACATACCAAAGCTTGCAGCAGAGTTTAAGAAGAGATACGGTCGCGAACTTATAGGAAAGAACCTTGGTCAATTTCATTCTGACTTCGCAGAAATAACACCTGGAAAACAAAGTTTAGCATACAAGTCAATATTTTGTGGAAAGAAGACTTACATAGACTTACTCACGAATGATTTAAATGAAGTTGCATTCCATGCACGTTGCAAAGGTGTCAAACAAGACGTCCTTGCTTTAACAGCAAATGAAATGTTTCCTGAAGCTATACAATGCTATTACAATGAAGATAAGAACATTCACATACCTGTTGGAACATATGACAAAGACTCTGAGTTCAGTTTAATGAAACTTTACAAAGCACTTCATGATGGTCAAGAGATTGGATTTGACTTATGTAAGTCATGTCAACCTTGCTTTGCTGAAAAGTTTAACTTCTCAATAACGACTAAAACAAGCTTTATTCGTAAGTTGAAGTTCTGAGGTCATTTATTTTTGTCAGCAATGAGGTCATTCGTGATAAAAATAAGCCGCTAGCGGCAAGGGCGAAGCCCATGAGGTCATTTACAATACTGCGATGGTAGAGTTTAAGAGTTGTGCTTCAATGTAGAGACAGTCCTTATGGTCTGGAGGTAAGAACACTGGGCAGTTATGGTCATGAGTGGAGAACATGTCTATCCAAAACTCACGATTGAAGCCAGTTAATTTATAGTATTTAGGGTTAGGAAGTGGTGAAGTTCTTGTATGACCAATGAACTCATTTTCAACTCCCTTACTTAAGTTTGAATATAATATAGCTTGCTTTCTATCCCAAATGCCGGGTGTTACAATCTTTGAAAATTCATTTTTCCTCGGAAGCATTGCATCATAATTGAAAACATTCTTGAAATCATCACTTGGTTCAGAGATTTGAAATCTTATACGTAATGGATTTTCTTTCTTTTTAGCTACTTCATTGAATGGTGAATATATAACAAACTGACAGTCATGAGTTCCATCTTCATTTTCATTAAATTCATAATGAAAGTCTATAAGTTGTGGCCGACTACCTTCTTCTTTCAGTTGTGCAAGAAACTCACGTAAAGGCTGTAAAGTTTGTACTTCAATGTTGAACTTTTTCTCGAACATCTCATTAAATGAAGTCATACATTGTTGCAATGTTGTATCGTCTTTAAAGTATTTGTATATGTGAATGTTTTGGGCGCTTAAAGACTGTTCGTCATTTTCTATCTCGACTTGAAGTATAAAGTCAACCTTTCTGAAAGCACGTGTTATATACATATTTGTTATGCCAATGTACTTCTCTTCATTTATGTTCACAATCCAGTCTGTTGGAAACTTAAACGTTACTCTGTTCCCCTTTATTTTGACGTCAGGGTTTTCACTACTGAACGCAACAGATAAAGGTATTTGTCTATACATTTAGTTCCGATAAAAATAAACCATTTACTCTTTCTTTGCTTCAGCTTCTTTAGCTTTTGCTTCAGCTTCTTCTCTAGCTTTCTTCGCCAGCAAACGTGGGTTCTTCTGTCTCCCAGCAGCTAATGCAGCAAGTTGTTTTTCACTAAGTTTTCTCTTTGGTCTCTCTGGCTTTTGTTCTTGTTTTTGTTCCTTCAGTTCGGATAAAATTTGCTCACGAATTTCTTTCTTCAATGCTTCAACATCTATGACCCCTTGGGTCTTGTCCGTAGGGCTTGTCTGAGTCATTTGACTGCAGATAAAAAACAAAATTAAAACTTTAACCGATGTAAAATGAGCTTGTCAAAATCAGAGCGAGAGTCTATTATATTAAATGACGCACGAGGAATACAACATCCTTTCTATTACGTAAGTCAGAGTAAAGATGGTAAAATATACGTAAGAAAAAGAAAGGTTCCATTAGCGAATGCAGAAAGCGACAACATTAAGGTGCATGGCACCGGGGCGAAGCCCATGTTAAGCCTTCTATTCAAACTGAAAAGTCAATAGAACAGAAGAAAAGAAGCCAGATGTACTTTCAATAACGAACCAAGAGCTTATTGCAAAGTTCGTGAATTTCATTGAAAAACAAACCGAGTCAAAGAATCCTGACCCGCCAGTGAAAGAAGTTGAGACAAAAGAGAATGTACAGTTCATTGAAAATGTCAAGAAACAACTTCCACCACGAATGCCAAGAAGAAGAGTGAGAATAATGAAGTAAATAGATATTTTTATCTGAAGTAAATACATGCAGAACGAACAGTTAAACGAATTTACTCCAGCAGAGCATATTCATCAGATTCGCTCATATTTCGATATCATAGACAATGCAGTTCAAATTGGTGACACTAATAGAAAATATTCTGACGCAAAGATTCCATCACAACCTGGAACTGCTAAAGATAACACATGGGTAACATTCAATCTCTCACCTCCTGGTGAAAATATGTTGGACCTTTACAATACATTCATTACGTATAAAATGGAAGGTCAATTTATTGTAGATAAAGAAATTGGTTCAGGTTCCAATAAAACAAACCCACCAGGATTTTGGATTGGTTTCGATGACGCTTTCTATGCAGTTGCTGGATATCAAATCCTTGCAAATGGTCGTATCGTATATTCTCAAGACAACGCAAGAGAAGAAGCATATATAACTTCAAACTCACAAACTACCGAACAAATAAAGAAAGTAGATGTTTTCTCAAAGACTCGACATGAAGATGTATGGAGTCATTCGGGAACATGCAGAACAGGACAAATTGTTAGTGGTCCAATTACAGCAGGAAAATCATTTGATTTTAAGCTTCGTTTAAGAATTCCTGTTAGAAGATTCCTTCCATTAGAAGCTATTCGATTTATTCCAGCTTTTGCAGGAAACATTCAGCTTAAAGTAAAGTTCAGTAGCGACGCCTTACAATGCACATCTATATCTGTAAATGATATCATTGCTTTCAATCCAACTCTTAAAGTTGCATTTGCTTCAGATTCAAATCCACCGACAAATAAATTTGTTCCATGGAATGAACCATTCACTATGATAACGAAGGCAGTAGAAGCTAGTGGAACAGTTACTATTACAACTGTAACCCAGCAACTATTTCGAACAAAGATGGATTTTAATGAATGTTTCATTCATCCAAAGTCATTCTCTTTAGACCCTAACATTTATACAGAACTTGTAGAACATTATACAAACGAGGCTTTATGTTTTCCTGTTAAAGTTATGGATTGGATTCCTATGGACGGTTCATTCTCAAAGAATACAGATAGTTCAAGTGCAACATTTACAGCAGCTTATACGCCTATTAATGTTAAAAGTATTTGGGCACTATTTAGAAAGAAAGACAACTATTATGTTAATTTTGAGAACCCTAAGTTTAAATATCTTCAGCTTTCCATGGGAGCTTATGGAAATATGCCTGCAGAACCTGAAAAATCATATGGACCTGTATTTTATGAAATGGTTGCGAACGCTTGCAATACAAACAATGATATGATAGGATTTAATGAAGATGTTATGAGGTCATTGGTGGATGATGGTAGTGTGGAACATAAATGGGATAGCTATGACAACACACATTTCTTATGTGGTTTTCCAACAGAAGTGGACTTTTGCTTCCAGCAAGGTCAAACATCTACTGCTCCAATAACATACAAATTGTCTGTTAAAGGACCTATTGAACTAGCAACTGAAAATGTACCAAAGCCACTTATTGGATTTATGAGGGATTGTTGCTTTGCCATTCAGGTGCGTGCTAATGGCATCCCCATAATAAGATTAGATGACTATAACTTAGCTACGGACGACAGTGAGGAATAAAGGATGAACGTTTATTTTTAAAGCTTATAAATGAGTTCTTCATCAAGCTCTCGTGAACCTTCACCATCTATGAAACAAACTTTACCAAACGATTATGGAGCACCTATTGAATATTTCTTACGAGCTGCACAATGGCAAAGAGCAGTCTCACCAAGGTTAGGTGTTCCACCAGCTCCTGTCAAAAATAGCATTTGGTCAAGTCCTTATATAAGATATGGTCTCCCACTAGGTTTGCTAGCTACAGCAGGAGCAGTTATGATGTTGAAAAGAAACAAAGCAAATGTTGTAAATAATACTGAAGTAGTTGAAGTTAAACAAACCAACACCTTCGCAACGTCAAAACCAACGCCTTCACAAGCAAAACCTTCAATGACTCCTGAACCTATGGAAGTACAAACTCCTGTTCAAAAGTCAACTCCTAAACCGACTCCAACATTTAAACCAGAACCTACTCCTCAAATAAATCGTAAAACTCCTGCGTTTCCTTACTGAAAAAATAACGTTATTTTTATTTAATATTAAAATTTTTATTTGATTGAAATGACAAATAAAGTCACTGAAGCAATGAAACAAAAGTTTATGGTAGAATACATTAAATCAGGAACTATTCCAGAAGGTTTTTACATTCATACTATGAAGGATGGTAGAGTTCAGTTTAGAAAGATAAAGCAACCATTAGATAGAGAAGGAATTTTGAGAAAGATTAAACTTCATGAGGACAACATTGCTGAACTTAAGAAGAAGCTAGAAGAGTTGGAGAAAGGAAGAGAGTTATAAAGCAATGAATTCAACAGGGTGAAAAAACAGGTGAAAAAAGAGGTGAGATTTCACCACTTCACCTAAACATTATTTTTGTGCTATGTTTTCATACGTGTGAGGGTGGTTATATCATTTATTTTAAATAAATGTGGGAACAAAAATAAAGCATATCTACTCACAGGAATGAGACCCTTACTGACTATGTATTCGTTTAATGCTTGATGAAAACAATGGTACATATTATCGTATGGGTATACACAACGTCTGTTTCCATCGTCGTCGTATATGTAGAGCTCAAATCCAGTCCAACCTTCTTTTGTACAATATGTAGCTTTATTTAAGTATGCATTTATGTAGATAAGGCAATTTTCTTCATCGCTCCAGAAATAATTTTTCGTCATTGTTGAAATAGTTTTCGTTCCTCTGCGACCATAAGGAATGTATGCAATGAACTTTGCGTCATATGGATTGTAATATATTCAGGGTTTCTTTCATCGTCAATGGTCTGTCTTTGTTAAAATGCATGTTTCTCAGTTTTACTTGAGTTTTGAATAGTTCACGGAAACGTTCTGGGAAAGAGTCATAGTAAATGTAGTCGGACATGTCTTTGTAATGAAATAAAAAATTAAAAAAAAATAAAAATAAGGTTATTTTTATTTAGTGAGGACGGTAGTGAATTCGTTAGTGAAGTCGTTTATGTGTCAGATGGTTTTGTAAATATTAAAGGTTAAGTTGGTGTTATGGTTGTGTTGTAAAATATACGTTACCGGTTTCGTAAAGTGTCAAACCGTTAACTTGGGTAAGGTGGAACGCAGTGCCGCCGTACCCAAGTTAGGGATACTAACTATGAAAAGGACATTTATTCGGAATTAATATCTCTCCCATGAAGAGTGTAGGTACATTATTGTGAAACAAATGATGAATATAAAATCTCTGCAATGTAGAATGTGGTCACGCTGATTCGTATGCACTGTACCAAAACGGAAAAATAGAACGGAGGTGGAAGACAATTTGTTTGTTTGCGGACCAATTTATTCTCAAATTTTAATATTTTCGGACTGTTTCGCAGATTCCTACACCACCCAACTTTCTGGCATCAATTGCAATTCCTATAAATCGATAAAGCCAAAACTTTTAGATGCAAGACTCATATACTGTGGCAGCGAGTCTTAGGAATTTTCCAACTTTGGCTCCAAATTGACATCCTTTAATATATAGGTTGACTAATTAAAGTGTAGTAATATTATTTGTAGTTATATTTGATTGGATTTAATTGCATCAATAATATATATATAAACTTATAAAACGCTTATATTAATCCTATTTGTAAATTTTTATATTTTGTAAAACATATTAATAATTGTGAGCTTTACAAAATATTTGGGAAATATTTTGTACAGATCACAATTATTAATTCGTTTTTCAAAATAGATTAAAAATTGAAAACCGCTTCACTCATTCAATTTTTAATCTATTTTGGTAAAATTTGATTACGTTTAGAATTACAATTTTTTAAATGGACTTGATGTCCGTTGTTCTTTATTTTCAAAAAAAGGAATGGAATTCCCAACAAATTTTTCAAGAAATCAATACTACATTAGGAGAAGGTTCTATTGCTTATTCAACAGTCACAAAGTATTTAAGAAGTACAAAGTTTAATTCAGATAAATAAACCGATGAGGAAAATTTGCAAAAAATGATATTCCAAGTTGTAAATGAATCAATTTTGAGATGCTTGGAAGAACATCCTTTGTACTCGGTGCGAGACATTTAAAAAGAGACAAAAATTACATGTGAAACTGTCCGCCGTCATTTACTCTACGATCTTGGCTTCAAAATCAAGCATTTAAGATGGGTGCCACACCCTTACAACACAAATGAAAAAAAGTCGTATCATCAAAAATATATTGCATGAAGCTTTATACTTAATAAAAAAATCAAAATAGAATGAATATATTGTTTAATCAAAATAATCACCTTTGGCATCAATTACACATTGAAATTTTTCTTTCCATCCGTCAAAAACGTTTCGCAAGACATCCTGCAGGATTTCACTTCAAATTTCAATTACTGCATTAAAAAATTATTTTCTGAATTGAACTTAGATCCAAGAAGCTTGTCTTTGATGTAGCCGAATAAATAAAAGTTGCTTGGAGTGATATCCGGCGTGTAAACTGGTTGAATAACTTTTATTTCTCCAGAATCATCACAAAAATTTAAAATTTTTTGCAACATGTGGTTTCGCGTTATCGGCGTGAAGATGAATTTTCACTTTTTTCTTTGCTTTGGATTAATACGATCTATCATTTTCTTAATGATATTTTCCAAGTAACAGATACTGTTAAATTTGGTACTCCTTGGAAGCATATCAATTTAGACAATTCCATCTTTTGTTCAGATAATTATCAACATCACTTTCTTGGAGGTGGTTCTTCGTGAGTGAGCCATAATTGTTCGTGTTCATAGCTTAAATCATGGCGCTTTTTCTTTTCCAGTTCATTGAGTTCACTAAGCATTTGCTTTGAAAGTCTGACTTAGTGAGATCGTGTGCCACCCACTTTGTATGCTTAATAACAAATCTAGTAACATTTATAAGATACGTATGTACTGTACTTCTTGGTATTTTTGTGAGTTTTTCTAAATCTCTGATAGAAGAATAAGGTTCTGCTTTTAAAAGTTTTGAGAATTGCAATTGAAATAATCGTTTTGTTGAAATTTTCGTTTTTTCCTCCCTCAGCCTATTTTAGCAAGGTTACTACAATCTCATGATTAATTGGGTTAGTAGCAGGTCCACTTACCAATTGGATGAATGTAATATCATTCCCAAAAAAATCAGGGTCATATGAATCATCGAAAAATTGCAAAACCTCCCACTTTTTGGGAGGGGCATTTTGGAAAAATAATTTTATATACATTTATAGATCTATCTTCTTCCAATACTCTTCTATATTTATCTAATTTTTTTTAATAATCTTCTTCCAATACTCTTCTATATTTATCTAATTTATAGATCTATCTTCTTCTATCAAAATTATGTAATTTTTTAATAATAATAATAATTATTATTATTATTATTATTATTATTATTATTATTATTATTATTATTATTATTATTATTATTATTATTATTATTATTATTATTATTATTATTATTATTATTATTATTATTATTATTATTATTATTATTATTATTATTATTATTATTATTATTATTATTATTATTATTATTATTATTATTATTATTATTATTATTATTATTATTATTATTATTATTATTATTATTATTATTATTATTATTATTATTATTATTATTATTATTATTATTATTATTATTATTATTATTATTATTATTATTATTATTATTATTATTATTATTATTATTATTATTATTATTATTATTATTATTAATTATTATTATTATTATTATTATTATTATTATTATTATTATTATTATTATTATTATTATTATTATTATTATTATTATTATTATTATTATTATTATTATTATTATTATTATTATTATTATTATTATTATTATTATTATTATTATTATTATTATTATTATTATTATTATTATTATTATTATTATTATTATTATTATTATTATTATTATTATTATTATTATTATTATTATTATTATTATTATTATTATTATTATTATTATTATTATTATTATTATTATTATTATTATTATTATTATTATTATTATTATTATTATTATTATTATTATTATTATTATTATTATTATTATTATTATTATTATTATTATTATTATTATTATTATTATTATTATTATTATTATTATTATTATATATATATATTATTATTATTATTATTATTATTATTATTATTATTATTATTATTATTATTATTATTATTATTATTATTATTATTATTATTATTATTATTATTATTATTATTATTATTATTATTATTATTATTATTATTATTATTATTATTATTATTATTATTATTATTATTATTATTATTATTATTATTATTATTATTATTATTATTATTATTATTATTATTATTATTATTATTATTATTATTATTATTATTATTATTATTATTATTATTATTATTATTATTATTATTATTATTATTATTATTATTATATTATTATTATTATTATTATTATTATTATTATTATTATTATTATTATTATTATTATATTATTATTATTATTATTATTATTATTATTATTATTATTATTATTATTATTATTATTATTATTATTATTATTATTATTATTATTATTATTATTATTATTATTATTATTATTATTATTATTATTATTATTATTATTATTATTATTATTATTATTATTATTATTATTATTATTATTATTATTATTATTATTATTATTATTATTATTATTATTATTATTATTTTATTATTATTATTATTATTATTATTAAATCTGAGAGTGCCAAATTATTATTAAATCTGAGAGTGCCAAATGATTTATTTCCGCATGTAGAATCAGAATATGTCGGAAAAATTACGTTTTAATCAGGAATCTATCGATTTTATCAACATTAAAGTATATGCATATGATAATGCTCACATAATCTGCATATAGATCTAATAATATAAAAGCATAAGCATAATTACTACTTAGTAATAGAAAAACATTTACAAGCAAACATCAAAGATATCATCTTTATCTTTGGATGCTACTTTTTATGTAAAAAAATGAAAATTTAAAATATCGTTAACGTTTATTCTCATAAAGTAATCAGTTGTTTTCGATAATGTACAGTGAATAAGTAATATGGATTTGAGCTCTTCGTTCTGTTCAGGATCGCTACTGATCCGCATATGTGGTTCTACCATCAATTTGCTTACATAGTCTGGCCACTAGATCATAGAGGCGAGGTTAGTTAGTATACAAGTCTTGGGTACGGCGGCACTGCGTTCCACCTTACCCAATACTTGTGAATTTGACACTTTACAAAACCGTTAACGTATATTTTACAACATGAACGCAAAAACTAATTTAACCTTAAATATTTACAAAGCCGCCACCCACTTCACTTCACTAACGAACTCACTAATGTAAAAAATAAACGTTCTCACTATCGTTCTCACTAACGACTTCACTAATGTTCTCATAAATTTTCCTCAATATCTTCATCATCAGTGTTAACCCTATTGTAGTCATACTTGAAGCCATAAACTTTCTCTAACTTCTTAACGTACAATTTACATAACTTACCTTCGTCATCGTATGGTTTAATGATATAACTATTTCTATCTTTATACACAGTCAATGAAAAGTCAACTGGTCTCGGATGTATTTGAAAGAACATGTTATGCTCAGGAAGGAAGAATAAATGTTTAAATGTATGTTTGTTATATGTTTTGATTTGTATGAGTTGCTTTTGTTCTGTCATTTATATAAAAATAAACTTAAAAATAAAATAAAAATAAACGTTGTCAGAGGTGAAAAAATAATGTTTATGTTAGAATGTTAGATCTAACACGTTTTCTAACACGTTTTCTAACCTTGTGAATTCATTACTTTATAACTCTCTTCCTTGGTTTCTTTTTAGTTGCTTTCTTCACGTCTGTCTCCAGCTTAACTGTCTTTCTTCTTCGTCCGTAATGATACCAGTTACTTCCACCAGTCAATGGGTCAAATGGTCTTTCGTAAGGGTTTCCATACATTCCATAGGGACCATACGGAAGAACTACTGGTGGAGAAGAAACATTTTCTTTAGTTCCATCGACTCTATTTAAATGCATTGTTTCACCTTTCATCTGGTCATTAAAGTCTTTTGCATGTTTTGCAAACTCATCGTCCTTTCCTAAAGCATTTTCTGACTCAGTCGCAACCAAATTGGATGCTTTATTTATGAGCCCTATTTTATTTAATCTTAACTTCTTTGCAACCCAGCCTCCAATCTTTCCTTTATTTGCATCTAATGTCTTCGAAACTCTTCCTCCACTCATTTTATTTACTGCGTCATAAGCCCCAAGTGCTTTTGCTCCAAATGCTAATGCTTTTGTTCCCATTGCGCCTAAAGCTGCCCAAGCTACCATTTACACCATATTAAAATCATCTCTCTTCAATATTATCTCATAAAAGTTCTCGTTACTGGAGAAAGTCAATGAAACATAAACATTCTCATGGACTTCGTCCTCGCCGCGTTGCGGCTTCATAAACTTCTTTCTTATCTCATCTATTCGCTTCAAAATGTCTGAACAATTGCTAACATCTTCTACAACAGTTATTTCATCATGAATGACCTTCAAGAACAAGCTCATTTAATATGCTATTAAAATCATCTCAATAATGAGTCCATCCTTTCCATCTTTAGGTAGCACAACATCTTTCATTGAAGAAGGTTCGACAAGTCTTATGTTAAACTTACTGACAAAGTTTGTTATACTATAATGCTTCGGTGGCGAATACATGTAGTTTGAAAGACATAATATAGATTCTTCAGCAAATTCACTTATACTGGATTTTATAACAATGTTCTCACGAGACCAAATACCACCAATTGACAATCTTGTAAGCAATCCTGCTGAACCTTCAACTGTAAACGTCGATGGTAACATTCCACGAAGGTCATCTATTGACATCGTTGAGTCACTGAATTTAAATATTTTCTTAAAGCAATCGTCATTATCTAACCATGCAATAGCTTTGAAGTTTTCATTCGAATATACATCTGCTTCATTAAATGTAAAACCTGACTTCTTTGCAGAGACGACTTTAAAATCTATTGCATTTGTTTCAAAATTATATACTATGGTAACTTCTGAAGGTAATGGATGTCCTTCCGCAGTCAGTTGTTCTCTCACTACCGTTTGAAGCTTTGTGTTAAAAACTTTCATGTCATCTCCTGTGTCTAGGTTCACATACACAGCAACAGGAAAACTATCTTGCTTCTTTGTCTCATCATTATATCTCAAAACATTAAAGTTCTTCAATAATATTGTCCTTCCTGCTGGAATACTTCTAACTTGTCTTATTTCAATAGCTTTCTCACCTCCTACATACTCTACCCAGTGTCTTGGATATTCATAAGTATACTGACTTTCTTGAATTTTGGTTGGTTTCATCATAACGTGTTCATAGTATATCTTTATACTCTTGTCAGTTAGACTCGGTGCTATGTTCTGAATATTTCTGACTTGCATTTTTAATGGAGATAAAATGAAGCATTTAATACATGACGTAGATGAAGACATGAATGAAACTACAGACAAACTTAACTCTTCTCTTATTCTTCCTTTCAGTAAGGACTATGAGTTCTGTTCAAATGGTGTGTATTTCTATTGTGGAAAGATGGGTTCAAGTAAGACATTTAATTTAATTCGTCATATACTCATAACAGAGCGTTTAGGAAACGACTCTTACTATGACCAAATCATTATATCAGCAACTTCAGACTCTATGGATTCAACAGCGAAAACATTTATGTCAAAAGTTCAAGCCTCTGTCGTTAAAGTTCCAGACAGTGAACTCATTGAATTTCTTCAACGTTACATTCGACGTAAGAGGAAATATTATGCCATCGTTGAATTTATACAGTCAGGAATGCAAAAGACTTCTGAGGAGATGGAAAGAATTATTGACAAACACCACTTACGTCAGTACTCAGGAGTTTACGATATGAAACGACTGACAAACTACATTCTATCAAAACTTTCAAAATACCCCTTCAAAAAGTATCCTTCAAACACTCTGCTCGTTTGCGACGACTTCGCCGGAAAAGGTTTAGTGTCAAAGCCTGACTCACCATTAGCTAACATCATTACTAAAGTCAGACATTACCACTTAACTGTAGCAATACTTATGCAAACATGGAGGTTTTTAGCTTTAAACATAAAATGTCTCATAACTGACTTCGTTATCTTTCAAGGTTTCTCACGTTATGATATTGAACTCATTTGGAAACAGTCAGGTATAACATTACCTTTTGAAGAAATTTGGGAAGCATATAAGTCTCTCATCTCTCCTCGTTCATACCTTGAGATTCATATCATGACTAATACCATTAAAGTCAAAAATATTCCATGGGAACGACCAACATTGTTTTAAAGTTTAACCTTCAATTGACTGATGGTAAACAAATTCCATGCATCTCTGTCGCCATTTCTGTTAATATTTTTGCTGTCATTCATATCATCCACTTCCCCATCCGTTAACTTTTGAGGATATGCGTTAGAATAGCTGTTCTTAAATGAAGGCTTTTCACCTTTTAGCGCATAAACTCTATAACTTTCTGCATACTTTATGTTTGAACCTCCTGAGCCATCATTGACATAAATTTTTATAGGCTTCCACCCTTTGTTCATGTTCCTGCTTCTTCCCTTAGCTCTTTTGTTCAGTAGTTCTACATCTTTATACACAGCTCCTGTCTCAGTGAATTCAACAATATTTTCATTCGTTAGCTTTACATTCAAACCCTTGTCGAGTATATTGTTCATTTCATACATATAAAAGGTTTTTATTCTATATGAAATGAGAAGCAAATCCATCTTAGCTGGTGCCGTTAATGTTCCAATTGAACCAACATCAAATGTTGACTCACGAACGACAAACAATATTGTCATAAAGAACTATAGTTCAGAGTGTTTGAAAGAAAAAGAACCAGAACTGAAATCCGTGAATTTAAACTCAGCTTCAAACGCTAACGCTACATCAGATGTTAAGTTAGAGTATCCACCACTGGACCAAGTTCTTTCAAGAGAAGCCAACGACAACCCTTACACAAATGTTCAAACAAATCCTTCAGATAACGTAGACCATTACCTTCTTCAGTTATACCAAACAATTTTACTCAAAGACGATAAGAAGCTTTTGACAAATCTTATAAGCAAGAACCAAATAATTCTAACAAAGGAGGACCTTGAAAATGTTATATCACGAATAACAGGGAAACAATGTGTCATTGACTATCTCGACCCTGAAATCGAATGCTGTGGTCAAACGCCACCATTCATGAAAATAGGTAACATCCGCATCATTGAAATACCAGGTACTCCAGGAGTTGAGTTTAAGTATAAATATTCGAACGAGTATACAAAACTTTCAACAGAATATAAACTTTGTTTGAAATATGTTTTAGTAAATTAAAGCAATTTGTAATATCTATCCAAAACTTCTTCAACAGTATCGAACTCATCTTCATAATGCAAACCTAATCTTATTGACTTGGTGCAGTTCTCACTAACACAATATAGCGCTTTGCGCTCGGCGCCTTTGACGCCTTTTTCTGTTCTCTTGACTGACATAACTAATTCATTTGTTTCATCAAACAGCAACAACCAAAGTTCATGACCTAATACATAACATTCATACTTTATATTTTTAGCTCTGAGTTCTCTTGTAAGCTGTTGCATTTAATATTTTCTAAAAAGTCAACTTCAACAGTCATTCGCACTGGTGCCTTCAGTTCTACAGGCTCTCCTTGAAAGTCAACTAGTCTGAATTGCATGTCTTTCAAATTATGAGGACTAATGCGAATCCATTTACCTAAATGAGTTGCTATGACAGGAACGTTTGGAATGAACATTGAATTTACTTCATAACAGAAAGACTTATATTCTACTGAACCTTTACTATTAACTCCTGAAATACCTGTGACATTAGCTATTTTTGACTCAATGTATAAACAATTGCCATAACATACGTATGGAACAGATTTCATCTCAATCGTTTTGTCAATACTTTTCAAAGGAAATGTCATATGGTATGCTCCCAGAAGCAATTGAACTCTATGACTCATTCGTGTTATCTTAAACTCCTTCGCATAACTGAACTTCAAAACTCCTGCAATAAGTTTAACATTCATTAAGTTTTCTTCGTTCTCCTTGTTTATTGTAGTATTTATGAGCGCATTTAACACTCCAGCTAATGTTTCCATCTTATATTCTACATTATTGTGAAATCTTATTTCATGCTTCTTTCCATCTATTTCAAACTCCATGAAATCTGTTTCATCTGTTATGACAAAAGTTGCGATAGTATTGAAGTCAACAACTCTGAAAGCAAGCGCTTCATTCTGAAGACCTAAGTTTGTTTGTAGCTTTACTGTTTCCGTATTCGTTTGGGTCAGTACTTTGCAAATAGAACAACATTTTATTCTCATTAAAATATGACTATTGCTGCATATGCGTATGAAACAAATGAAGCAAGAAGAGCACATGAACTAGTAAACGAAAACTCAACTTTAACCATTGAAGGCAATGATTTAGTCATTGACGATGGAAAAACTAAAAAAGTCATTGATTTCGATACTTTTAACACTTATGACCCATTCATTACAATAAGTAAAGTTCCTATCATAAATGATGGAACGGTGCAATATATAAATTCTACAGTAGATGCCTCATTAGTGAAAGTACTGAATGTTCTCATTGAATTGTTAAAGAGCTTTCGATTTGACGACAACATTAAATGCCTAAAGAATTTAGTCATGAATGAGAAACAAATATTAGGAGTTGCTGGTAGCAGTAATGATGTACACCTTATGACATTAGAATATTATAACGAACATAAAGATGAACTGAAAGGAGAGAAGGGTGACACCGGACCACAAGGAATACAAGGACCTCAAGGAATACAAGGACCTCAAGGAATACAAGGACCTCAAGGCGAAAACGGTTTGGATGGAAAGGATGGAAAGGATGGAAAAACTGCTAAATCATGGATATGGGACCTTATAAATACTGGTTTAACAGCTGCTTCATATGGAGTTCTTCAATACCAAATCGGAAAGATATGGGCAGTACTTGGTGAAGAAGCTTTAGATGATGTTAAAAATGCTTTGAACTTCATTTCAAATGGTTCGGATACTATTAAAACTTTATCTGGTTGGATGCAAGAAACAAGGAGTCAAATAGATACTGTAAGACGTATAGCAAACAATGCACGTACGGGATTGGATACTTTACGAAAAGCACAAAATACACTAAAGGAAGCAAATGATATTCTTGGCTCAGTATCAGACATGCATGAAGATTGGCTTAAAGGTATTGACAAATCTTTAAAAAATCACAGTCAGTCTATTGCTGACTACAAGAAAAGTATAGATTTTTTACATAGTGCTATGGACGTACATGATGGAAGCATAAGGAACTTACTTAATGCTAACAATAACTTACCAGGAACTATTAAAGCATTTATAAAGTCCTTTGTAAAACCCGGTGCTCTAACATTTAGGTCTTTGAGAGCAAGAGCATTGAAGTCAAGAGATGCAGAAACTCCAACAGAAACTCCAGAAGGAACTGAAACAACAGAAACTCCAGAAGAACCACCAAAACCAACAGCTAATGAAATATTGTTCGAATATTTTCCAAGGTACTCTGTTCTCATTGCATACATTCAAGAAATACTTAAGAAAGCAGACTTGACTTTAGGAGATGATGAAAGTTCTGTATATCTTTCGTTCCAATTCCAAATAGCAGAACTTTTGAGACAGATATGCTTAATGTATGACAACATCTCTGATTTCACAAGATATGATGACGACCATGACCCCGAACACGGTGAAGAAGAAGTTTTACAAACATCCATTAAGACAGGAAAGGTTTTAACACAAAGTCTCATTATTGACACCAAAGATGGCGAAGTGGACGTTCTTCAAGAGCTGAAGAAAAATACTTCTTCGGGAGGTGGTGGTAGGCATGAACTTGAAATAAATGAGATAGAAGAGAAATTAGCCGAAAAAGCAGATAAAGAACATAAACACAATATCTCCGATATAAATGAACTTCAAGCTACATTAAATAGTAAAGCGGACAAAAATGAACTTGACGCAACGAACAAAGTTTTGAAATCTCATAAACACAATATCTCCGATATAAATGAACTTCAAACTTCTTTAGACAATAAAGCAGACAAAAACCATGTTCATTATATAAGTTCTGATGAACAGATTATAACGGACTATCATGGATATTTAACACAGGGTGAAAAAGTGAATACGAAAAATGTTAATGAAAGAAGATATAAATTCATTCGTGCTAAAGGTTATGACATACACTGTACTGTACAGTATGACACAGGTATAGCACCACAATCATTTGGTTATAACGCTGAAATTTATGCTTCATACTTCTTTGTTAACGGTGTATTAGTTGAACCAAGATTTACTTTGAGAGTTAAGTCAAAAATAACTTTTGAAGATGCTATTAAAAGTAAAGCTGACAAAACAGAACTTGACGCAACGAACAAAGTTTTGAAATCTCATAAACACAATATCTCCGATATAAATGAACTTCAAACTTCTTTAGACAGTAAAGCCGACAAAAATCATACACATAAATCCTTCACTACTGTTAGAGCAGACGACATAATATTGAACTATACCCTTGGTTCAAGTGCACCTTTAGAGAATCCAAGTACAAGCGTAAAAGATACACTAAACTCCTTAAATAACAAATGTATGAATATCGAAGGTCATGCCAGAAACTTTGAAGCATATGAACTACCAGCAATGTTAGACAGTAAAGCCGACAAAACTTATGTGGATACAGAACTAACAAAGAAATTTTCGAAACCAGATACAATGACATTTACAACAGAAATTATAAATGGTGAACCAGCAACTCCATTTGAATTTGTTAGAGGTCTTCAACCAGATACTTTTGAATTTTTCTTGGATAATTCTATTGAACTAACATTACATTATAAAAGTGGAACAAATGCAACATTTCATCCGGGAGATACATTCCAAATGGTATTTAATGACATAAGTTCTTTAGAATATGTTTATAGAGTTATGAGCATATATGATTTAATATATCCTATAGGAGCTGTTTATACGTCTATGAATCCAATAAATCCAAACACTTTATTTGGTGGTAGATGGTATGAAATAGTTGACAGTTTTCCATTCTACACTAATACGCAGTCAATGAAGATGGGAGGTTCAAAGAAAATAGGTATTGAAAACCTTCCTTCACATATGCATAGGTTCAGTGGAAGAACATCTGTGGAAGGAAACCATTCACATTCAATAACAAAAAGAGGTTATATAAATCTTGCAGCGGGTTCGAATAGACAGGGAATGAATAGATATGATATCTCAGATGACCCCAAAGATGTTAGCACAGGTATTTTCTGTGGAACTGCAGGAAATCATACACATGTTGTAGCTGGTATTACAGACCCAGCAGGTAATGGAAAAGATTATATGCCTCCTTATATAACAATGCACGCTTGGATACGAGTTGGTTAAAATCTTTAACTTTACATAAATGAGCTTGAAAGAAGTATTCGAACAACATCCATGGAGGTCTTTTAAGAAATTCAATGAAGCTGCAAAGAGTTCGGGATTTACTAACAGAGCTGAAGTGAAAAGGTTCTTTGACAAAAATGTTGTACATCAAACAAAAATAAATCCTTACGACTACTTTTTACCAATTTACTCCAACACTCCTGACGCATACCAATTTGACACTCTCATTCAAAGCAGAAAAGGAGGACATAAACCATTCCTCATCTTCATTAATGTTAACACTCGCAAAGCTTTTGCGTATATAATGAGAAATAAAGGAACTCATGAAGTGTTAAGAGTTTTACAAAAGTTTGTAGCAGAACATAGCCCAAGTATTTTAACATCAGACCAAGACGGTGCATACCTCAGCAACGAAATCACAGAATTTCTCATTAAGCATAACATAACTCACTACACTACTGAAGACCATAACCATAACATACTCGGTATCATTAACCGCTTCATAAGGACTCTCAGAGATTTAAATCAAGAGCGAGACTTTACCGAAGAAACAATGAAACATTTCATCGAAGTTTACAATTCCTCAACACATTCTACAACAGGACATACACCAAATTCAATGACACAACAACAAGAAGAAAAGTATATACAAAAGAAACGAAGTCAAACACAAAATATCAGAAATTCAACACAATTTACTCTCATTCCTGGAACAAAAGTTCGTGTAGTTCTTGACGACAAACCGTTGACAAAGAAACGTTTAAGGTTAAGTCGAAATTATTATATCGTAGACTCTACGCAAGGTAATGGATATCTTATAAAAGCTGCTGACGACTCCATAGCATTTTACCCTCGTCATAAATTAGTCGAAAGTAGTAATGGCAAACTTGCTGAAACCATTGACGAAGCAAAGCGAGGAGTGGTTATTGAAATACTTGACTACAACATAAACGATGACACTTATAAAGTAAGATATGAAGGAGGCGTTGAAGATGTTATACCATCTAAGAACTTGAGAGAATCTAAACCAACTCATCTGGGACCATTAGAGCGGGAGTACTGGAAAGATAAAAACATGCCAGAAAGAATAAGAAAATTCTTCTAAACTTTTTCATTAGATGTAAATCAGACAAAAATATATTATAGGTGAAGAGGTGAGATTTCACCTGTTTTCTCACCTGTTTTTTCACCTCTTGAATTTTCGTGAATTTCCTTAAGATAGAAAAAATAAAGTTAGTTTTTATTTTATTTATTTTTTATTTTGTATGTAAAGACAATAATGTCAGTCGAAGCAAAAACATTCACGAACAAATCTAATGGTGAAACATTCACAAAAGGCACTTATAACGGTATTGAAGTCTTACGTAGAGACAAGGATGGTTACATTAATGCAACAAAGATGGCAAGAGAAGCAGGAAAGTTAAACCATTTAAACAGATTTCTCAATAGTGCTAAAATGCAGGAAATTCTTGAGTTTTGGTTGAAAGAATACGGTCGAGCCAAAAGTGGCTCAACCTCAAAACAAGCATTTTATGAGCTTACTAAGGGCGTTATGAATGAATTCAAAGGTATTTACATACATGCTGACCTCGTTCATTTTGTTGCTGAATGGTGCTCTGTAAAGTATGCATTTTATGTCAAAGATATTATGGACTCCATAGACAAGAAAGTTCATGAGAAGTTAGATGAAGAAGAACTCGAAGATACAGTGGAGAATGCTAAACCTTTGTTCGAAGAAGAAGTTGGAAAAATGTGTGAAAAACAATTAGAACATGAACGTGAGATATATTATGGTTATAGAGATTCTCCATACGAACTAGACCAATGGGAACAAGAAGATTTAAAGAGAGAATTTAGAGAATATGAACTCGCTAAGATAGCATTTGAAGCTGCAGAAAAGAAGTTAAAAGTTTGGGGTCGTTTTGTACAAAAATATTGTGAGTAAATGAACCATTTATTTTTATTGAATTCAGTAAAAATAATGTTTAGGTGAAGAGGTGAGATTTCACCTGTTTTCTCACCTGTTTTTTCACCTCTTGAATTTTCGTGAATTTTATATATTAATGTTTTCATAAATACTGAGGGTGTCACTACGTCACCATGTGTCACTCGGTTAATTAACTTCTCTGAAAAAATGAGACAACATGACATTTTGACAACATCACTGGAAATATATTTTATCGTTAATGTTTACGTTAATGGTTTCAGGTTATTCAATAATTAATTATTTTTGAAGAACTGAGGGTGTCACTACGTCACCATGTGTCACTCGGTTAATTAACTTCTCTGAAAAAATGTGACAACATGACATTTTGACAACATCACTGGAAATATGATGCAGTCCAAAAATAAAGTTAGTTTTAAAATTATTTTTATTTTTTTTATTCCTATATAAATGACGGCAACAAACAACAACAGCAACTTTATCATTTCTGATGAACAAGTTATTGATTCATTAGCTGAGGAATTAGTTGTGGCAGAAACTAAAACCCTCAACGAAAGAATTGGTGAAAACAAGATTGATTTACATAACTACCTCAAACATGATGGAGGAAGAGGAAGGAAAACTGGTATGGCTTTATTAGTAAATAAAATATCAAATTTAACGATTATAGATGTTGATATCAATAAATCGTACAATGATGAACTTAAAGAAACAGTTAGAAAAAGACATTTTATCAAAACTTCGGATAAAGATGTTATCGTTAAAACTGCATCAGGAAGGTCTTCACATTTATTGCAACACTAATTTCTTCTATTCAACCTCGAACAGAATGATTAAATGTTATTCCTGCAATGATTATGATATTGACAAACACACTTACGTCAATACTCAGGAGTTTACGATATGAAACGACTGACAAACTACATTCTTTCAAAACTTTCAAAATACCCCTTCAAAAAGTATCCTTCAAATACTTCTGCTCGTTTGTGACGACTTCGCCGGAAAAAGGTTTGAGGGTCAAAGCCTGACTCACCATTAGCTAATACATTCATAACTAAAGTCAGACATTACCATTTAACTGTAGCAATACTTATGCAAACATGGCGTTTCCTTGCTTTTAAACATTAAAACGTCTCATAACTGACTTCGTTATCTTTCAAGTTTCCACGTTATGATATTGAATCATTTGGAAACCAGTTATAACATTACCTTTTGAAGAAATTTGGGAAGCAATATAAGTCTCTCATCTGCCTCGTTCATACCTTGAGATTCATTCATGACTGACTTACCATTAAAGTCAAAAATATTCCATGGGAACGACCAACATTGTTTTAAAGTTTAACCTTCAATGACTGATGGTAAAACAAATTCCATGCATCTCTGTCGCCATTTCTGTTTAATATTTTTTGCTGTCATTCATATCATCCACTTCCCCACTCTCTTCGTGAGGATATGCGTTAGAATAGCTGTTCTTAAATGAAGGCTTTTCACCTTTGAGAGCATAAACTCTATAACTTTCTGCATACTTTATGTTTGAACTCCTGAGCCATCATTGACATAAATTTTTATAGGCTTCCACCCTTTGTTCATATTCCTGCTTCTTCCCTAGTCTTTTGTTCAGTAGTTCTACATCTTTATACACAACACCTGTCTCAGTGAGATTCAACAATATTTCATTCGTTTAGCTTTACATTTCAAACCCTTTCGAGTATATTGTTCATTTCATACATATAAAAGGTTTTATTCTATATGAAATGAGAAGAAATCCATCTTAGCTGGTGCCGTAATGTTCCAATTGAACAACATCAAATTGTTGACTTCACGAACGACAAACAATATTTCATAAGAAACTATAGTTCGGAGTGTTTGAAAAGAGAACCCAGACTTAAGTCCGGAATTAAACACAGCTCCTCAAACGCTAACGCTACATCAGATGTTAAGTTAGAGTATCCACCACTGGACCAAATTCTTTCAAGAGAAGCCAACGACAACCCTTACACAAATGTTCAAACAAATCCTTCAGATAACGTAGACCATTACCTTCTTCAGTTATACAAACAATTTACTCAAAGACATAGAAAGCTTTGACAAATCTTATAAGCAAGAACCAAATAATTCAAACAAAGGAGGACCTTGAAAATGTTATATCACGAATAACAGGGAAACAATGTGTCATGACTATCTCGACCCTGAAAATCGAATGCTGTGGTCAAACGCCAACATT